TGTTTTTGGCAGCTGTAAAACTTTTGATGGGTGGCTTCTTTAAGGCCAGTAGCAGAGTGTCTGAACTTGGGGAAGGCCTAAGTTGTATTTGCTTTTGGAAGTCTTAAGGTTTTGATTTTTTTTTTTTAATTTATGTTTAATTGACAAATACCTGCATAGATCTATAGGGCACAATGTGACATCTGTACACATTATAGAATGATTAGATCAAGGTAATTAACATGTCTGGTTGCTTCACGTACCTATTTTGCTATGAGAACATGTGAGCCACTTTTTTTTTTTTTTTCTATTTTTAGTAGAGACAGGGTCTCACTCTTCCTTAGGCTGGTGTCAAACTCCTGCTCGTAAGCAGTCTTCATGTCTTGGCCTCTCAGAGTGCTAGGATTATAGGTGTGAGCCACAGCGCCCAGTGAAACATTTGAGATTTACTCGTACCAATTTGGATATACTGTACAATATACTAAGTAGCAATTTGGAAGTATACAGTATATTATTGAGCATAATCACCTTGCTGTGCAATAGATTTCCAAAGCTTATTCCTGTCTAACTGCATTTTGTATCCTTGACCAACATTTCTCCAATCCTCCACCCCTGTCTCCAGCCCTGGTAACCACCATGCTACTCCTACTTCTATGAGTTTGATTCCACATATTAGTGAGATTTCACATATAAGTGAGATCATGCAGTATATTGTTTTTGTTCCTGGCTTATTTCTCTTAACATAACGTTCTCCAGACTTATTCGTATTGTCCCAAATGACTGGATTTCCTCCTTTTTTGTATGTCTGAATGGTATTCCATTGTGTGTGTATACTACATTTTCTTTATCTCCATCTGTTGATGGACACTGAGGTTGATTCCATTATCTTGGCTGTTGTGAACAGAGTTGCATTAAATGTGGGAGAGCAGATATCTCTTAAACGTAGTGATTTCATCTTTTTTAGATATATATACCAGCAATGGGATTGCTAGATCACATGGCAGTCCTATTCTTGATTTTTTGAGGAACTACCATGCCATTTCCCATCATGGCTGTACTAATTTACATTCCCACCAACATGTCCAAAGTTTCTATTACTCCTATTCTCACCAACACTCATAATTGCTCATCCTTCTAGTAATAGCAATCCTAACAGGTGTGAGATAATAGTTCATTGTGGTTTTTGATTTGCATTTCCTGATGATTACTGATGTTAAGAAGTTTTTCATTATACCTCTTGGCCATTTGTGTCTTTTGAGAAATGCCCATTCAAGACTTTTGCCCATTTAAAAAATCTGGTTATTTTCTTACCGTTGAGTTATGTGAATTCCTTACATATTTTGAATATTAACCCCTTATCAGATGCATGGTTTGCAAGTATTTTCTCCTATCCTGTAGGTCTCTTTACTCTGTTTTCCCTTGAACAGAATTGTTTAGTTTGATATCCCTCTTGTCTATTTTTGCTTTTGTTGCCTGTGCCTTTGGTGTATATCCAAAAAAATCATTGCCAAGACCAATGTCAAGGAGCTTCTTTATGTTTCCTTCTAGGAGTTTTGTAGTTTAGGTCTTTAATCCATTTTGGGTTGATTTTTGTATATGGTGTAAGAGGAGGGTCCAACTTTATTCTCTCGCTTGCGAATATCCGGTTTTCCCAGCACCATTTATTGACGAGACCATTTCCCCATGGTGTCTTCTTGATGTTCTTGTTGACTATTAGTTGACTGTAAATTTGTAGGTTTATTTCTGGGTTCTCTATTCTGTTGCATTAGTCTGTTTTCATACCAGTACCATACTGTTTTTATTACTATAGCTTGTAGAAGATTTGAGATCGAGTAGTATGATACCTTCCACTTTTGTTTTTGCCCTGGATTACTTTGGCTATTTGGGGTCTTCTGTGGTTCCACATAAACTCTGAGTGGTTTTCCTATTTCCGTGAGGAATGTTATTGGAATTTTATTAGGGATTGCATTGCATTTGCAGATCACTTTGGAGAGTATGGACATCTTAACAAACTTCTTCAATCTGTTAATACAGTATATCTTTTCATTTGCAGCTTCAATTTCTTTCAGCGATGTCTTAGATTTCTGTGTGTAGATCATTGAACTCTTTGGTTAAATTTATTGCTAAGTTTTTTTTTATTTCCGATGCTATTATAAATGGGATTGTTTTCTTTTTTGGGTAGTTCAGTAAGTGTATAGAAAACCTACTGACTTGTGTGTTTCTGGTGTCCTGAAACTTTACTGAAGTCATTCATTCTGACAGTTTTTTGGGGAGTCCTTTGTGTTTTCTATGTATATTAATAAGATCATGTCTGCAAACAGACACTTCTGTGTGATTTGGATGCTTTTTATTTCTTTCTCTTGCTTCATTTCTCTGACAATTAGGACTTTTATGTTGAATAGAAGTGGTGAGAGGGCATCCTTGTTTTGTTGCTGATCTTTACAGAAAAGCTTTTAGTTTTTCACCATGGACTATTATGCTAGCTGAGGACTTGTCACATGTATGGTCTTTATTGTGTTGAGGTACATTCCTTTTATACCTAATTTGTTGAGAGTTTTATCACAAAATGATATTCAATTTTGTCAAATGCTTTTAAAGCATCTGTTGGTGATCATATGGTTTCCATCCTTCATTCTGTTAATTCTGCGTATCACATTCATTGATTCTTGTATAGGTTGAACCATCCTTCTACCTCATGGATAAATCCCACTTGATTATGGTAAATGACTGTTCAATGTGCTGTTGACTTTGGCTTACTGGTATATACATATATATTTTACACCTATGTTCATCAGAGATAGTGGCCTATAGAGTGTGTGTGTGTGTGTGTGTGTGTGTGTGTGTGTCTTTTCTTTTTTTTTTTGGGTAGTGTTCTTGCTTGGCTTTGGTATCAGGGTAGTGCTGGCCTTGCCAAATGAGTTCAGAAATATTCTGTCCCCTTCAACTTAAGTGTTTAAGAGGAATTGATCTTAGTTCTTCAACTGTTTGGTAGAGTTAATTCAGCAGTAAAGCTATCAAGTCTTGGGCTTTTCTTGGGATTTCTGATTCCTGACTCATTCTCCTTACTTATGCTGGGTCTGTTCATGTTTTCTATTAATTCAGCCTATGTAATTTACTGCTCATGGGGCAGTGAGAACAGGCCTGTTCTTGGCACATAAACTGTTTCATTTAAGGATGCTGGCTCATGAATTTCTTCCCCCCATTCCCGATTCCTCCGTCTTTAGGTCTCATACTTGGGCGCTATGGCATCTCTGCAGCCAAAGTTTAGCCTGGAAACCCTTCTGGAGCAGCTGAACGAAGATGAATTAAGGAGGTTCAAATCTCTATTAAAGAATGTTCCCCTACAAGGTAAGCTAAGGATGACCTCATGGTCCAAGGTAGAAGAGGCCGACGGTAAGAAACTGGCAGAAATTCTGATGGAGAAATCCCCAAAATATTGGATAAGGAGTGTGACCATGAACATCTTGGAGAAGATGAATCTCACAGAATTGTCTAAGAGGGCAAAGGCTCAAATCCCGGGTAAGTAGAACCGAGCATATATCAGTCATTTGTAACAAAGAATGAGTCCCCAGGGTTTTAGAAACATCAGGAATATTATTGAAACTCCTAATATTCTGCACGCTCTGAATACCTTCTAGATGTCTGATTGGGCGGGTGGCGAGGACCAGCCTTGTTTGTGGACTCTGTGTGTTTCTGTTTCTCCCCTTCTGTCTACCCTGACCTCTGCCACCCCGTGTCCTTATGTCGGCTAATGCCTATGACAGCATTGTACAGATATTCATGATTTTAGTTTATCCATTACGTTTTTTTTTTTGATATTTTCAGCATTCTTTTAAAAATTTTTTGTTCTGGGATAATTTTAGGTTAGCAGAAAAGTTGCAAAGACAATTCAAAGAATTCCCCCATA